ATCATCATCATCATCATCATCATCACAAACGTCCAACGTCCACCAAAAGGAAAAGGTTTGTTTCAGTGGCTGTAATACTTTTAATGCATTTTTTTTTTTCTGGATATTATTCCGGTGGCTGTGGTTGTTGTACGATTTTTTTGATGGTCTTCATATAGACTTGAAAAAAGTTTGGTGTGTTAAAGGTATCGCCAGTTCTCCACTTTCAATTCTAAGTTAATCATATTTGATGCGTGTTGATAAGCAACTGCTGTAGATGCGTTAAGTTATCAGCAGAATTCAACTGCAGGAGTTTAAGTTAATCAGTGGGACACTTATGAAAACATGTTTAGTTGTATTTCATTGCAGTCATCCTTTTGAACCGTACCGTTTTTGCAGCCCTCTTCGATCTGTTTGTTATGGTGATTTTTTTTGCTGTTGGAGTTGTTGTTGATATTATTGTACTTATTATCGTTATTATCATTACTGTTTTTGTATTTGCTACTATTCTGTGATTTCCCACACTTTTACTCTCTTTATATCCTTTTTATCATACTGATATACAGAAATTTATTGGTTCAATTTTTTCAGTCCTTGGGATGATACTGAAGAGGCTCCCGTCGAGAAAGAAAAGCCTAATTTTGAACCAAGTGGGAAACTTGCAGAGGATACAAATACCTACCGAGGAGTTGTTATCAAGTATAATGAACCAGATGATGCCCAAATACCGAAAACCTATTGGCGTCTTTATCCGTTCAAAGTTGGTTTTATGATTTATACATCTTAACTTGCAGCTAGTGCAGACTTCAAGAGGTTAAAAATTTTTGACTGCTTTATTTCTGGAGCTGTCTTTAGTGTTTTTCTTTATTTAGAAACTATAATTAGCAATTTGCGCCATAAATATTTCGTTTCACATACTCTTGTTTATAAGTATTGCTTTATGTACATCTTCAAATTTAAAAATTTTGCTGCTGCGTAACTTAAACTGTTCAGTGGTTCTATAACTTTTTCTTGTGCAATTTTCAGCTTTAGTTCAAATTATAGGGAGAAGAGTCTTTACCAATAATGCATATCCATCGCCAGTCGGCTTATCTGATTGGACGGGATTCTAAAATAGCTGACATTCCAGTCTTACATCCGAGTTGTTCGAAGCAGCATGCGGTACTACAGTATCGTTTAACGCCAGTTGATTTACCTGATGGCACAGTGATTAAAAAAACGCGACCTTATATTATTGATTTAAATTCTGCAAATGGCACATACCTTAACGATGAACGAATAGAACCGCAAAGGTCTGGTTTAAAATATATGCTAATAAAATTTTTTCAAAAGTATCAGTGATTACTGAAGCTGTTAGAGGGTTTTTGGTGATTAGCTTATTAAATAACGTGCTACAAAATGGTCATGAATGAATCTTGGCCTCAAGACTATGCATTTCTACGTGGTAGAAACCATCTTTAAATAATCTTTGGTTTTGTTTTATTTTAAATTTAACCTAAAAAAAGTCTAACTGCTAACAAAAAATTTTATAATATTTGATTTGATGTAGCTAATATTAATGTGGTTGAGATAATAGGGAGATCTGAGTTATTTGAAAGGCCTGGTTTTTTTGGCACAGTCTTTTAATATTTTTGGCTTTGTTTTGAAAGCATTTTAAAAAGTTTCTGCTTCTAAGTCGAATTTTGGTAATTTACATCCCCTGTTTTAATAATGTTCTCAGGTTTTTGTTGCAGTTACGGTTTTGGATTTGTCGTGAAAAAAGTTTAAATTTAGTGATTTCTGTCATCGACGTGAATTTTATTACATAAATTTTGACTAAGAAAAGCCAAACTTTTTGTATTAAGAACTTGCGTAGTTGTGGCCGTCAAATTTGAGTTTAAAAAATTTAGTTTCTTTTGATTTGCTGATTTTAGCATGATTCAGCTTGAATAATCATAATGTTTTTTTTTTTTTGAAGGTTTGTGGAGTTACGTGAGAAGGATGTCTTGAAGTTTGGTTTTAGTACACGCGAGTACGTTTTATTACGAGTGGAAGAGGAAGAGAAAAAGAAGAAATGACCTGAATATAAAAATTGTTTTGCCAAAAAATGGTTCTGTAACATATCGTTTATTCCTTGTAAGTAAATCTCAAAAAAGTACGCGTATAACAGCAGTCGGAAGTCATGCCGAAATTTGCTAGTTGAGAAGCAGTTGGTTGGCACGGTGCTTTTTCCCTCACTCCTTACAGCACAAATTGGGATAATTTTACAAGTAACAGGAAAACAAGTGGAATATATTTGGTAATCATGGATGAAATTCTAACGGGTTTGGAAGCTTAAGGTGTTGTTGTTTACGAATTGGTGGCTTTTAAAGTTCGGTTGCGCTTCTCTCAGGTTTGGCTATGCTATTCCGTAGTTTGGAAATTACGGTTATTTTTGAAATTTCCGGTAGTCTTAGTGCCTCGCTTAGAAAGCAAATCTTTCTTGAAATTTCATGTTTATGTCAGAGATGTTTACTGAGTTGGTTGGATTTACTGTGTGCTGTGGTTACGTCATGATATTCAATAGAATGCACATAAATAAACATTTGGCATTGGATTCTATTTTTTTCTTCAGAAATAAGAGGCTGGATTGCAAATAGATTTGTATAATATGTGATTTGGAACGTGATTTGATAGTTGTCACAGGGATTATCGAGAGCAACACAGCGGTGTAGGGTTCATTTTCTTGCTGTTCTTTTTGGAGGAAATTGGGAGTAGAGTATACGTGAACTAGTGGGAGATAAGTCGGAGGTAGATTCAGGCGGCCGGATATATATATAATATAAGCTTTTGGTAAACACATCAAAGATAGCTTCAAATAGTTTTCTGGGACGTTTTTTCTTATTGAAATCATCTGCACTCTTCATCTTGAAGATAGCCAGTTTTTCGGCAATTAACCTACTTCAAAGTTCACTGAAGGCAACGGCCAGCGACTGACCGACAACAGTAGATTTATGTAGTTGTGGCATTTACAGCTACTTACCTTAAAGAATACAGGCAGGCTCTTTAAAAGACTTGATTTTTATCTTTGCAGAGTTGGGTACGTTGGATCTCACTGCGACGCAGGAGGAACATATTAAAATCAGAACTGTCAAAGCTTATAATGAGTGCCATTTTGGTCATAGAGGGAGTTGATGAAAGGAAATCTTTTCACATTATAGTGAAAGTATTAATTTGTTAATAAATTGACTATCTACACGGTTAACAATTTCAATAAATTTTTATTGGATACGAATTTGTTAGGAAAAAGAAGGAAGCTAATTTCCAGCATATGGAAGCACGGTGACATGGAGGAGAGCGGAATTTAATAAAATCTTTAAATCTGAGAGGTTTATTCACTATTCTATTCAGATTCTTTTTTAGCAGTATCTTGTTCTGTTTATTTGAGGACATTGACGCAGACCATTTGTCTATCTTTCCATTGTTGTTAATGCATGCTGAGGAGAAGTTGATTTATTTTTTTATCGTTTTTATTCTTGTTCATTTATTGGATTAAAGCAGAAAAAAGCAGAAATTTTGGGTCAGTTTTTTAAATATTAGGTTTTTTTTGAACAGAAATGTTAGCATAATAATTTCAGAAAGAAATTCTAAAAAAAGATTATCAAAACTATTCTCTCCCGTTAAACAAACGTATCGCTTTTTTAATCAGAACTGACAATTATGGGACTTACGCCTTTACATATAATTTTTCACTTCTCGTCTAGATCCACATCTCACACTGCTTTAGCAATTTTTTGTTCGACTTTTAACATTGTCAGTGCAGCTATTAGAAAATTTTTAAGTATTTACTAAAAATTAAAATTTTTGAACTTTCTAATGGAATCTGACATTTACTGGCTGAACTTATAAAATGCCGGAGTGCACTTGGACTTTTCAGTGGAAGAATGGGTCTTTAGACAGTAACTGCAGCTGCGTATTGAAAATGTCTCCTTAAAACTGGTAAAGTTGAGAAAGTTCAGTTTAATAGCGAAAGAAAAGTTTTTTGAAGAGCATTTTCTTTGTGATGTAAAGGTGTTGTTGCTGAGTGGAAGTGATGGTTTTTAAAAGACTGATGCCTATGAGTTCAGCGCTTTTATGAAATTCAATACGGGTAGCATTTTCCTTCCAGAATTGGAGGGGTCCAGAGGTGGCAGTTTTGAAGTCCAAAATTTTTATAGATATTGGTTTAAATTTGATTTGGAAAGTTGATAAAGGATTAAGGTTAAAAATGGAATGGTTTAAAGTCGATGTGTGAATATGCGAAGTTACGCAACTATTTGACAGCAACTTTTCGTGGATTACGGCTAATTACATGTCACTTTCTATGTGAATACTAATGTCAGTTCATCAGCAAAATAAGCACTTCAATATAAAATAAGAGTGATGTCGATGCACTTCACTAAGAGACATGTTGGCGACAGAAGTTAAAAAATTTTTTACTTTCAAAACACCTTCAAGAAGCATAGCTATTTTTAGCCCCCAAATCTTTTGTTTTAACTAAGCCATTTTGTAGAAGCGCTTTTAGGGCGATTTAAAACCAGTTTCAATCCCAGTATACTGTTTTAGTTTATGCTTCAGAAATGCTAACCATTATCAAAGCCTTGATATGGGAGTCTAAAAAAATGACTATAGGATTTATTTTCACAACTTTACGCACCAAATTCATGAAGCTGTACCATTTCATCCAGTAGTTAGCTGATAAATTGGTAATCTGTTTCTTGAAAGAACCACATATAGTTAAACGTCGACGAATTTTTTCAGTAGCTTGCAAATGAGCGTTGAACGCTCATCATGGTTTAGCTAAAACGGCATCAAAACTGCATTGTATCATTACTACAGTTAAAGAGTAGGTTTTAAACTTCATCTGAAACAGCTTGAAAGAAGTTCTATAGCGCCTACAACATATATAGACATTTGTATTATAGCCAAACTTGTATTTTTGGCAGTCGAAAAGGACAAGTTAAACCATAAGGTTTTCCATTCAACGCCAAACGTTGATAATTTTATTATTCAAAAGAACATAAACTGATTCTTCTTCTCTGTTTCTATTTAACAAATTTGTCACTTTCAGCCGCATTTTAAAAGGTTCATTTGCTACTGCAATAGGTTTTCTAGCTTCATAGTTTTAAACCTCTAAAGTGTTTCTTTTTTAGAGGCATAGCTACAGTTGTTAAACATTTGGAAGATACTTATCAAGACGGCATAATTTTCAAAAAATATATTCAGGTTTATGGTCGGTAGTTGAATTACACATACACTGACTGTATTGCAGAACTTAGGTGTTATGTTTTAAAGAGTTAAATCAATTTTTACATAACTAATATGTTTTTTCTGCAAGCTTTTCTGAGAATTGGCACGGAAGTGAAAAGCAAGCTGATGTTAAAAGCAAAACGGCTTGATTAGAAATTACAAATGTTCATTTCTTTAGCATAAACTCTAGAACAGTAAATCTTAAGTCTTACTAAATATGGTAAAAAATGACAATAAGACTGAAAAACTTTAGGAAATATGCGACCGTTTTTTGAGGAGTAGATCTGTTTTAAAGATTGATTTTGTGCTGTAGTGGCAAAAGTGGTCGTGTAATACTTGCAAATGCATACATTAGGAACCGATCTGAAGGTGAAAACTTGAAAGATCAGCCATTTTAGCCGGCAGTTAATAGGAGAACTAAGGTTTTAGAAAATTTTACATTTACAGTGCTGTTCACCTTTCCCAACGTTGTTCTCAAGTACGGTATCTTTTTTTTTTTTCTTTTTACATTATTATCACCTCTACGAAAAATTTTTGATCGTACGTAAAGATTTTACAAAATACTTAACTGCAAGACAAAAGATGACAGTAGTGGCATCAGCTAATGATATACTGTTGGGAATAACTGTAAAGAAACAGTTTATGCTTTTGTAAGCATACTAATGGATCAGTACAATTGTTGACAACATCGTTGCGGTTTAAAAGTGCTTCCAATAAAGCTTTATTTTCTTCGAAACTAATTAAACTATCATTTAAACAGTTTCTAATCAAAAAAAAAGAAAAGGAAATGGTTTTGCTAATCTTTGTTCAAGTTTAAGGTATCAAAATAATTCTGTTAAATTTTTGAAAGAAAAAGAAGTGTTTTAGCAGTTTTGTAGAAAATACTGAGGACTATTTTGAGAAATTTTTATAATTTTATTTTTAGAACAATCATTATTTTCTTCTGCACATACAATTGGTGATAAACAATAATAATAATAACATTTTATATACACTTATAGTTGGCATTTTTTTTTTTGTAATCACAATTAATCAGTTTACATCAATTAATTTTTTTTTTTTTATTGAATCTTTTTTTTTTAGGGAACTGTTTG